CGTAACTAGCCCTCTATCGTATAACCAGCCTCGGATGTGGTGAATGACCGGGAAGCAGTATGGCGCCTTGAATATGATGCATAGGTGTTCCTCTGTTGCCAGTGAGTATACTCTCGCAACGACTACGTCAGCGCCTTGAAACCATGGCGACTATCACGAGGATCTTGCATATGTCTCGGTCAACACTCTGTCTGCGAGACAGCCTCCACGAGATATTCCAGACATTGACAAATGTCCCACGGGTGCCACACGCGTGCAATCCTTCACATGACGCGATACGAACGTTGACGGAGTGGCGACCCGCCTCAGAGCAAAGTCAACAACGGCCGTCCGAGACAATTCGACCGTTTGCGGGGTGTTTTGGTCCATTTGCTTTCTTATTTTTGAACGTCTCGCGCGGGAGCTCGGAAGGGACGTGGCCAGATGGGTCTCGTCCCCCCGTTTTCCTCATCGTTCATGCGATGCCATGTTGGCAAGCATACGGAGACATACGCCAGCCTCCGCGAGCATGTTCGCATGTCTCAAAAGCTCTTTGGGTGGGTAGGTTTTGGGACGTTGCGGCGGTTTTATTTGACGGAACCGACTCACCGCCTCTACTGGATCACGACTCACGACTCGCCTTCACCGCCCGGAGGCGCAGCCGCGCGGCGTCTAGGCCGGTCTTTGGACCACCAACGAAGTGCGGGCGGTCACGTTGGTCATGGAGATGTTTTGTTGGAACGGACGAGATATTGGCTTCACTTGAAGTATTTACCGCGTGGCGAGCTTCGTCATGGTTCCAACGCGTTTGGAGCTTTGGGGATGGATATGAGAAGATTCATCACATGAGTGAGACTGCATAGTCTCGGGCATTGCAATCAGCTTTCACATGACGTCAAGTAATAGTAGTAATTTGGTATTGTGAAGGCCGGCATCAAGAAGAGGCTATGTCTTCATGTTTCATACATCGACTACTCTTGCGACTGGCCTTATCAGGGAACTCTGCTGTCGAGATGTAAGACGGCTCAGATATTCACTGACATGCAGACGGAAGTTGAACTTCGCATGAAGAAGACGCCTCATCTACATGCTTGGGATCTTCTCGGATACTAATTTTAGGCAGCACGACATGAGTGCACAAATCTCGCATGAAGACGGATGGTTATAATCGCCCCTCAAGGCATTCCACTTCGACCCTTTACTACAGGACCGTGGCTGAACGAAACCAAAGTCCAGTTCACGAAAGCCCAAACATGATGAGCCCTCGATGAACATGCTTCAGTCTGCCTCGCACAACTAGCACTACCCATATCGCCCCAATGCCCACAGGACGGTGCATTCCGTGACCTCAACTTGACGTTATCCGCAATCTGAGCAGGGGAGGCGCGTAGCAGTGACAGTCCAAAGACATCGCGTCCAACTTCCTGGCCAGACCACCCCGGCCATACAAAATCCCACCAGCCGGTTGGATGGAACTCAACCACTCAAACCCGCCGCCATTCTCCGCCGTTGAAGAGCATCAGCAGGCTCCAGGCCCCCCCTGACACGTTTGCTTTCCTACCGAATGAGGTTTAGGAAGGGTGAGAACAGTGAGAGTCTCTGGAAAGATTGGAAAGCAAACCCGTGGATACTTCCCCTTTGCAACTTCCCCCTGCATCATGCAGTGGTATCGGCGACAGGCATCATTCCACTATATTTAGAGGCCATGCGAGCAGGTCCAAGGTGCGCGGGAGACATAGAGAGAGAGAGAGAGGAGAGCGCAAGGTTTCGACTCCGGTGCCGTTCAGGGAATAATATTTGGGGGTGGTATTTTTTCCCTTGGCATGGATATCCATGCCGGTTCTGGATTGAGGTCTCCAAAGCATGGTGCAAGGTTGGGCAAGCAAGCGAAAAAAGCTGCCGTAAACCTGGCACAGCCTGGACACTCCTCACTCTGTCTTTCTCCAATCTCCACGTGGGGGCGCCTTTTTGCCCTTGATCCTCTACGAATGCATCAGTATCCCCGACTGCTGTCTCGATAAAGCAAGTCTCCGGGATAAAGCTATTTTATCATACCTGCCGCCGGGGGCCTGGGCGTTCGAGAAGCGTCCCGCCGTTGGACCCGTTGGGGAATGAACCCGGCACCAAATCTTGTGAAAGGGTTCATTGGAAGTGGAAACGGGCTTGGGTCCTCGTAAATACCCAGTGGTACCTTATTCGAGAAGACTCGAGGCAAGCCTGTAGCTATAGGACATAGGTACCTATAGCAGAGGAAACGCTATTGAAACCCTTGATGGGCAGAAAGCCATTTGTGTGGAACAGTCCCGGTTCGGGTAACCAGGACTGCGACCTCTTCGGCGCGGAGAGGACGGCGCACGCGGTTGACAATGACACCTCGATGTGTGTCGATGCTACTCTACGTCAATGGAAGGACTGGAGGGAACGTCTCCCTCCATGCCGCCGTACGAAGCGGTAGAGGACTCGCGCTAGAGAGAAGAGAGCTCGAGTTGGAGAAACACAAGTGAACAGGGACCCGGGAGTCGGGGGGGAAAGATTGGGAAGACGGCAGGGGAGGTGGGAGGGAACTGTAAGGTGGGCACAAGGCAGGAAGTTTGCTTGGGTGCTTGGGAGAGGAGACATGGAAAAAGGGGTCCTGGGGCCAGTCTTCAGGCGAGGTTGAGGCCTGGTCGGCGGTGAGGTGACGATGACATGGGGGACGACGCGGTTCGTGGTTCTTTGGGCGGGGCGAAGCGACGCGTTTGGCAGGGTCCCTGGCTGGGTCGAGAGACGCGTCTGGGTTTTTGAGGAGGTGAATGTGGCGATTGTTTGCGAGATGTGAGTTGCAATGGTCCATGGCTTGGGTTGAGAAGAGAAAGAGTATAGAGATTGAAGAATTCGGGAAAAGCCCATAGATATGAAAACGGGTTGCTAGCTTGCTTCGAGGGAAAGCAGTAAATTTGCCAGACTATACATCGTGACAACCGGTACTTGGTGTTGGAGCTCTAAAGTCCTGTTCGTCAACTCGGACACTACCTGACCCTTGAGAACGTCCGAGTTGCAAAGAATCATGTTACAATATTGATGCTGCTTCCAACGCATCTCTCACGCAAAGTATTCTGATGGAAGTCTTCGACACCACGCCTAGAATGAAGTTCCCATGGTTATGGGTTGACCAGAGACAGCATAGCTGTCATGTAGCCGTAGATATTCTCGTTTCCACATCCATGAGGGCTAGGAATGAGCTCTCTGTTGAGCTTCTAGTTATGCTGCTTGCTGGATTCGTGCGGCCGAAGTCCACCATTCTCACCGTTCATCATAACTTGGCGTTTTCGTGTTGATGACTGTCTTCCGTGGCCAGCACTCTTCAGAGGGACAGTCCACTACGGTATAATGTTGGATACCAGCGCGAGAGAGGATGCTGGTTTGCAGAAACGTGAGAGTCGTGAGCTTGGATACAGCATCTGGGCGTCTGCGGTCGCGTCGACACTCTCGGTGCGATGATCTCACATACTACGTGACACCGACCTCAGAAGTCTAGAGGTTGCCGTATGAAAGACATGGCTTCAATATGGCTACCCGACTTCCACGAACAGAGTTGCCTGCACGCCACTTTCTCCGAAGCAGTTATGAATGATCAAGAATTAATAACAGCCTAAGATACATCAAAGTCCTGCTTTCATGTAGCTCAATAACAATCTAACCAATATGTAATACTGATATCGAATTTTCTGCGATAATCATCAGGCGTTTCTGATCGTTCACTGCAATTGCCCTTGGAATCCTTTCCTTTGACTTTCCACGTCGTGCTCCTGTCTTCAACAGTCCTCAGCGGCGGTACGTTATCGTGAATATCAAAAACGTTCACTCACACACACACACACACACACACACATCTCTCTCTCTCTCTCTCTCTCTCTCTCTCTCTCTCTCTCTCTCTCTCTCTCTCTCTCTCTCTCTCTCTCTCTCTCTCTCTCTCTCTCTCTATAAAAAAATGGGTGAGGGACAAACTAAATGGCTCTCGTGGTACCAGCGTCGTGTAGTATCCCTGAAAACGGGAAGAGAAGAGTGCCTCGGTCAAAGATGGTGTTCTCAGGATTGCCCAGTCTGGTATCGCTTGGACGAGCGAGTGATTTGAACGAGAGTAATTCCATTGATAATAAACTAATGCTTGTTCGAAGAACTGATCTGCAGATTTCGGCCCTAAAGATTCCACTCATAGTCGTCATGACTACACAACTAGGGAGAACACTTGCTGATTCCACAACTAGACGGGGCAGCAAGTATTACACAAGAGCTCTGGATATCCGGCATCTGACCTGGCGTGGAACCTAGCATCTAACCACTCCATGGATATGAAGAGTACCTGTGCATTCCGGAATACCGAGTAGACAATCTACACGATACTTTCTTCACCGACGCAGTCACATCTTCTCAATGCCCCGGGACTTTCCGTACGGAATTTCACATGCATGAGTTTTATTTCTCCATCTTCAACGTGGACATTCTCATCCACGGGAGCGCCGAGTAAGAGGAGGTCCTCCACGTCAAAAGGTTGCAATCTGTTCAGACTCAAGCCCGTGGGACATGTACCTAACCCGCTCATATTCTATCGTGGCTTGAGTGCGTAAATGAAAGCATACCAAGAATCATTATCCAGTGTATCACTTCGGTTGGTATTCCCGTCATGTTCACGGGTAGTAATATTAATATCTCGGCGTCCAAGGTAAAAATCTACATCCCACCTCTCAGAAAATGCATACATCCCAGACGGGAGGACTAGGAACTAGGGAAAGATTGCTAATATCACAAATACCCAGTGGACAATTCAAGAATTTAGGCGACGTTCAAGGGGCACAAGTTCCGTATGTGAAATCCAACCCTCTCAAGAGCATGATACCTTTCGTTTAGATATCAAAAGTGACACCCTGCTGAAAGACCAAACCCCCAGCGTCGACTCTGCGCATCAAACAATATCTCAAGCAGCACTCGGCAGAATTCTTCAAGTAAAGCAATCGTTCAAGTCATCAGAGATATCGACGTAGTACTAAGTCGCTACGAACTTGAAGGGGAATCACCTGTTTTGTTCGCTCCTGATAAGGTGACACTTATAACCGACATACCCGAGAGCGAAGAATCGCAATGAGCACAGATACCTCCGTCTCAAACACTATTCCAGTAACATCACGTATTTCAACTCCCAGATACAAGACAATGATAACGACACTCAAGACTTTGAGCCGTCAGCGTAGATCGTCAAAGCTGGCTTCAATGGGTGTCTCCGGTCGTATCCCACGCCTGATTTCAAGCTACCTGCCCGACATGGTGTACCTCTCACGGAAGACCACTTGTCATACAGGCTGCATCTGCAGTCTCTAATCTCATATCCTACACCCACCTCTGTAAACACAACCTCATCCTTCAGCAGTCAACACATCACACCTCTCATGTCTCCCCAAAAACAAAAACCCCCTTGCCCTTCCTAAACCCACCAAGCGTCCCCTGAACAGCACTCTGCAGAACCCCCTCCTCAGTACCCCAGCTCCAAGGAACCTCCTCAACAGGCACATCCCTAAACCGTCCCTCCCTAATCATCCCCAACACGTCCTCAATCGCAAACTTCCTTCCCGTGGGGTCCCTCTCGTTCCACTTGCTCAACCAGAACCCGACAAACCTGATATCCTTGAAGATCAACAACCCCGTAGGCAACATGACGGGCTGCCTCGCCATCCCGCCATACGAAACCATCGTCCCGCTCTCCCCCAGACTCCTCGCCACCGCCGTCGCAGACTTGCCGCCCACGCAGTTCAACCCGAGCCCGACCTGCTCCCTCCCGCCGCGCGTCAGCTCCGCAAGCCGATCGCGCCACTCCCTCGCCAGAAACTCCTTCTCCGTCACCACGACGGTGGCGCCCAACCCCGTCAACTCCTCCTTCAACGCCTCCGTCTCCTCGGGCGTCTCCCTCTCCCGGACGACGTTGATACTCCTCAGCCCCCACAACTTACCCAGCTGCACCGCCGCGCGTCCAACACCGCTATTCGCCCCGTTCTGAATAAACCACCCTCCACTCCCCGGATCAAGAGCCTTCATCCCCCCGTCGCTCCCCGCACGAATCTCCCCCGGCCCATACGTCCTCAAAATCCGGTACGCCGTGCACGGGTTCACACTCACCGTCGCAACCTGCGTCGGCGTCAACCCCTCCTTGCTAACCTTCATCACGTCCTTCGCCTCCGCGACGGCATGCGTGCGCCACGTCCCGAACGAGCTGGCGTTGGGAATCACCCAGTCGCCCTTGCTCAGCCCGGAATCCCTGGACCCGACCGACACGACCTCGAAGACGCCCTCGTTTCCGGGGATCGCAGAGGGTTCGGGCGTGCCGATGAGCTGCGTAAAGGGGGGTCTGGCGCCGTACGTGCCCTGGATGGTGTTGATGTCGGCCGGGTTGATGGGGGCCGCGAGGGCGCGCAGGAGGACGGCGGAGGAGGGGATCGAGGGGGAGATGGAGTGCGTGTGTAGTCTGTTTCCACAAAGCGTCAGTTTCGTGTGTTTTGAAACGTTCCGACTAAAGGCAAGTCGGGGGAGGATGAGGCTGAGGGCGAAGGCCGACTACGTACTGCAAAACGTCGCTGGGCTCGCCCTCCTTGGAGAACACGAGCGCTTTGGCCTGGGTATATCCGTACGGACCGGACTTGTATCGTCGCGCAACACGGGGGAGGAGGTACTGCGCCGCCGCCGTTTGGCCCGCCGCCGGTCGCAGCGCCGAGGTCAGCGGCCGAAGCGCCGTCGTCGCAGTGTTTGTGCGCAAGCTCGCCGCCATTGTTTGTGTTGGTTGTGTCAATTGTAAACAGTTAGTCGGCAATTGGGCACAATGACGCAGTGTGGTGGTTGTGGAAAAGTGACGTTGAAGCGCGGGACACACCCAAAAAAAAGAAAACCGTAGCTCCAAGCTTCAGGTCCCGGCTCTGGCTCGGCAAACGGGCGACCGGTAGCTGGAGCTCCTTCTCACAATGACGTCCACAGGTGCCTCCCATTACGACGGACGAATCAGCCCACTAGCGCCGTCCCCTGGGATGGAATGTGCACGCCGCATGCCGCATAGGAAAAGGGGCGGTGGTCCCCCGCCGTTTCCGCGATTGGCTCGAGCTTCCCACCGCCACAGAACAGCTCCGGCAAAAGGGACGGACACGGCACGCCGTCCAGGGCAGCGAAACATGAACGGCGGCGGCTCCGGGTATTCAACGGACTCACGGGGAATGCGGCATGGTAATGTACGACAGGTGGTCCGGCAGCACGCTATTCCGTACAGGTACAAGCGAGCTTCCAGCGGACCGTCGAGAATGCATGGTGACATGTTCTAGCGATCTACGAAGTACTTTACTGCAGCATCGTTCTCCAGCAGAAAAAAACTAGCCATGGCCTTGCTAGGCTTTTCTGCGCGCTAAGAACAACCTGCAGATGCAAGCCTCTCGCCACATGATGTGTTCAAGGGGCCATAGCGTCAGGTTCGGATGACGCGGGGGTCCATCTGTCACCATCTTCTTTTCTCACCAACTTCGGTACGTTGCCAACGTTGCGTCAGTCCTTGCAAGCCGAGTGACATTCTCACCCATTCAAAACGTGGCGAACATCAGTGTAGGTCGTAAAATGTAGTCTCTATTACTGCTGCGGTTGCCACATAAGCACCAGCGGCATCGGGATGCACTTGGCCAATTGCTCCGTGATATGGCGTTTTCAGCCATCGTAGCTAAGCCCAAAGCATCTTCGCCAATGATAGTTGCACACTGTCTCGTGCCATGTGAGAGCTGACGCGAGCTCGAGTTGTTCCTCGTTCCTCCATCGGTCGTCAGCCTCGCCACCGTTTCTTAACCACCACAAGCTTCTCCATCAAACCCGTAAACATCAACATGTACATTCGAAGGTAAGTCGTAGAAGTAGGAAAGGGTTTGACCAATAAGCCCGTAAGGAAAAGAGATTCGGGGACCATGGTGCCTGTATCTCCCAGACAGCGCAATGAGATGAAGAGAAACACACAAAACAAAGAAAGTGTAAACAACGTATGTCAGAATGAGCCCGCGGCGCGAGCTGGGTATCTTGCATAACTTCTTCCAATCTTGCCTCCGCTGCTTTTCACATCTGCTCCGTTCCATCCCCGCCTCTTCGTCTCCCAGCTCTGGCTCGAAATGAAGTTCAACTTGAAGAAAACGCTAGGAAATCGTATTGGTGCATCCGCTCGGATTCGGTCGTTCGCTCGTCGGCGCATATAAGGTGGTTTTGTTTTTTTTCTTTTTTCTTTCGCATTCGACAAAGAAGCCGGTTCCCGACTCCAAAAACCGGTAGCTCTGTAGATATTAGTCATGACTAATGTCGGAGTTTGGCCGCATCTAGTCAGTAATTATTTGATGTTCTTGAATAAGTCGTCTCCAAGACTGCCCCCGTCCCCTACGTCCAGCCTGGCCTGGAGGGCGCTTAGCTCGGGGATCATGGGCGGCGGAGGTCCTTGGACCTGAGGTGCCTGTGCCTGTGCCTGCGGCTGAGTGATCTGAGGCTTGCTTTGCGTTTGGCTGCTGGTCTCGCTGACGTTGGGGTGCTCGTAGACGATACTGGATCGTTTATGTGGCGGGGAGGACTCGCTGGTCCTCAACCTCTTGAACCAGCCGCTGCTTCGCTTCGATTTCTTCTCGTCGATGATGCTGCCTTGACTACGGCTCATGGGACGGTTGTGGGCGGACTGAGTTTCGCCTTCTGCATATGCTTGGTTCAGTAATGTCCGGCTGAAGAGACGACGGATGCTGCCTTGTCTGCTTGACGCTGCTGGAGAGAGTGGTGTGTCATCCGAGAATCCTTTCGTACCATTGGTGGTGGCGGGCGAGCCTGGCACTGCTGCCGTATGACCATTTGTCTTGTTCTCAACCTTTTCCTTGACGGCGGACCCGGAGTCCTTGGTTTCGCTCACACGCGGGGTCTGGGGAGGCGTGGGGACCTCCTGGACGGGGCTGGGGAGCGGCGGGGGGATGTTGGTTCCCTCGGTCAAGGAGCCGAACTTGAAGTCCAGCTTGGGGAGCTCAAATCGTTTGGAACCGGTGGAAGGCATGGTGGGCGATGGTGCGGATCAGAAGGTTTGTGTCATCAATTGACTTTGTTGATGCAAAAGCGAGGTTGGGCCAGGATGGGTCCGTCTGAAAGGCGAGGTTTGCAAATGACAATTGCAGGATCCGCCAGCAGCCAGCTCGACAAACGAACGCGTGACAGGCAGTGTGTGCGGTTCGCCCCGTGGCGTGTGTCGTTGTACGGAGCAGCAGGGGGGAGTTGAATCGGACCCAGTGCGAGTGCGGGTTGTGGTCTGGTGGGACAGCGTGGACGTTGTGGACGAGGAGGGCGCGAGTGCGACGTAAGAGAGTCTGGGAGGAGTGGTATCCGTAGGGAAGGATCCGCTGATCTGGTGGATTTTGTATGGAAAACGGAGCCGAATTGTGAAGGGTTCTGAGAGAGTGAATGTCGAGGTTGGTGACGGGACGGGTAGCATGCAGGGTATGCTTCAGAGCGAGATTGGGTATTCGTCTTGTGCGGTGGCGCACGAAGGAGCAGGCGGAATTGGTGGACAGGCGATGCAGTGTACACTACCAGGTACTCGTATAAATGCAGGGTTCGCAGTACGGAGTACGAAGCAGGTAAGGTAGTGTACGGAGTAAGGTAGGTTGGTGCAGCAGGTTCGGGCTATGTATTGCCGCCGTGCTGGGATTCGAATTGGGTCTCTAGGTATCGGTACCACGAGGGTGAAGGCGGTCGTATCGAGCCACGATGGTGTTGGAGTTGGCCTTGAATCGTAGCCATAAGCTGAGCAGTAGTGAGGGCGAAGACTGAAAAGTCTTGGGCAAAGCAAATTGAGACGGCACAAACAGCGGTGCTGGCTCTACTTGAAGTCGAATGCGAGTTGGGCTCCAAGGACGTGGGGAGCTGCAGTGGCCAGAGACGAAACGACACGAGACGGCGATTGAGAAAGAAAGTAGGCCCAAGAGAGGAAGAAAGGGCCGGGGACGGTGGAGTAGAAGAATGGAACGGCAAGTCGGGGGTCAAATGGGAATTGAATTGGATGGGCAGTCTTAGACAGTAGACTGAGGTGGACGATTGCCCTTGGTTCGTTCCCTTTGCTTGCCCGGTGCTTCTTCTGCTTGGTCCTTGGTGCTGGCGTGGGCGTTGGATGGCGGGATTGTGCAATGGGATTGGACTGCTGGTCCAGTTGGACTGTGAATGGATGGGTAGGTTGGATTGGATTTGAGATGTCCTGCAGGGGTCCAGTACTTTGCGTGTTTGTCAGTGACCAGGCCTGCCAGGTCGTTCCCCGACGGGTGGGATGGCGTCGCACTCACCCTGGGGCCCCTAAAGGTGTCCGGGTACGCAAGTGCGGTCGTCTGACAAGGATGCGCCTGCCAACTCGGTGTCTTCGTCTTTTCTTCCGCTGTTCCTTTTTTTTTTCTTCTTTCTTTCCTCTGCCTCTGCCCCGAGTGATCAAAGTCCTTGCGAAGCAGAATTGCGGATTATTCTACGCATCCACACATCGTACGGATAGATCCCCTTTGCTTTTCTTCTTCTTCTGCTCCCTTCGAGTCTCCCCCATAGACGAATGAACCCCGGAGCCCCATTGCTTCAGGTTGGTGTTCTGATCTTTTCGGGAAGCGCCCTGAACCTGGCATTCCGCATTGCTGGGATGGCAGGTTGAGATGCCAGATTGAGGCCTCGGGCTGGACCTTTATCAAACATCTGTGCCCCCCATTCTGGATAGCTCTGGCACTCTGCTTGTTGACTTACATAAGACAGACGTCCGTCCTTCCAACCGTGCGAAGATTGACCTCATTAGGTAGACCGTAGACACAAGACGAAAATGGGGACCGAGAGCCCATGTGAAAGATGGAAGTGGCACTGACATTGACAATTGCACTTGCGCCTGCCTGCCTTCACTGCCTGCCATTTCCAATGCACCAACCGTGCCTGCCTCTCTAGTGCAGGTAATCTCTCTTCCTTCCGCGGCAACAAAAGTAAGTAAGGTAGTGCCCGTGGGATCTTGCCCGTCATGCCCGTCCGTCCCTTCCCCTCCATCGCCCCTCCCAGCTACCTTAGGTGCTTAGGTACCTACCTAGTAGAAAGGTAGGTTGGATGCCACTGCCTGCTGCATGAACATTGCTTACCTAAGTGCATATTTCCCGACGTGCAACACGTAATCTTAGAGTTCGCATTATCGACTTCTCCAATCACCAAACGTTGTTACCTTATTTTCCACTGCAAATTCATCTCATTCGACTAGACATCAAACATTCAGCATGATCGGCGGTCTTTCCCGAGTCACAGAGCCTGTCATTAGCAGCAGGGGCTTTCTTTGCTCTTCCACGTCTACCCACTAATAGGTGATTCGGAAATGCAAGCTCTAAAATGCCATACGAATTCCTTAGTGCCAACTGTGCCATACTCTCGACTGTGCCGTCCATGGTTGTCACACTCTTACCCTCGACGCTGCGGCAAAGACGTGGAAAGCTTGGCTTCACAGCCACTGACATGCAAGAGAAACATGATCCAAGATGCACCAAGTCGACGCCTGCAGCAAATTGTCCGTGAACCTGCACTAGCACAACTTGCACCACACCCTCTTAGCTGCACTACTCAGTGCACACTGCTGCACACCATACATATCACGATCAAGGTCTGATGGATGCATATTGGCGCGTCTCAACAGCTTTGCCTGGCACGCGATAATCCCATCCGCAACTCCCTTCTACTCTGATACGACGTGTAGATTCACAGCGCACACATCGGATTGTCATCTGCACGAGCATTCCTCGGAACAACACCACAGTCATTTGCTAAACATTTGCGTTCCTCTGTCCTGACTATGCTGGGTCCAGCAAATGTCAAAAAATCACACCATGTCTTCCAAGTTTTCTCTCCTTCGGGTCATTTCTGACTCCCATGTCCACGCCGCGCGCCGCCTAATACCATGATTTGGGTCCGTTCCTGAGCTAGCAGATCACATCCAACCAGCTCCGCCAACAAGATATCCCCTTCTCTCTACCACCCTGGCAATCCGGCCACGACCCGGCCTCCGTTTGAAGCTCCATGCCTTCCCTACAGAGACGCGACCCCGTCTCAATTGGTCCGGCGTGCTCGACGGTCCGGCCGACCAAGCAAACGCTCAAGGAGCCGTTGCGCCGAGCCGTGTCGCCAATAATCCCGTTTCAGCAGTCCAAGTCAACCGGGGTTCATCTGCCGCAAATGGGGACACTCAAGGGAAGCTGCATTACAGCTCGCCGCCTGTTCCTACAAACCTCAAACGCCACCCTCCGCCATCCCGCTTCTGATCAGGTTTTCAGCCATTGGTCTGGCGAGGCCGCCTACGGATACCGTTGACGGGCATGGCTATTCGGCTAGCTATCGGAATTTTTTTCATGTGGCGATCGTCGCAAGGCTTAAGACGACAACGCTATTCAAATTTCATGCGACAGTCACGACCATGGAGCGAGAAAGATCGTCATCCAGCACGAGTCAACGACACCCGTGAATTATTACCAAGGCTTGCGCGATGCTGACTGGTTACTCTGCCTTAACCCAGTCTCCCGTACGGTCATTTATCGCGTTTTCGACTTCTCGGTCAAGCGAGAAACATTGGATTCCCAAACGGGAAACCGGCTCCATTCCGAATCTCTTCGCATGCAGGCAGGTCGCTAGTACCAATCCCCACGACCATGGCCTACGATCCTTGATCCTTGAGCGCGTGGTGGTCCCTGGCCGCCCCCATCCAACGAGGAAACCAGACCAGGCAACCCCTATTTCGTATTTTCCCGTCTTCTCTTCTTCAAAGATTCAAAGGTCCCGCGCACAAGAAGCTTTTTCTGCTCTAGCTCGAGACCAGGGCCAAGAGGTTAGAATTGAACGAGAAAATTTGAGCTTTCCCACTTGATCGTATATCCGTATCGTGGCTTATCAATGGGAAGTGCCTATCAAGGACACGGGCCGTTTCATGCAGCCCACAGTAACTCCAAGAGCCTGGCACGCAGCACGAGGCCAGACAGTTCGTCCCCGCTGCCTGGGTCTGCAAGCAAGGGCGTTGAAACATTTCATGGAAACACATTCCCTATTGCCGGTACGGACATGCAGGTACCTCTGGCTTTTGTTTCCTCCAGGCTGCATCCAAATCAGCCGCGCTTATCGTCAAAACATGACATTTTCATCATGGGTTTGTCGTGGGTTTCCTGGATGTTGGCTCTGTTGACCTCTTTGGGTCTTTTGTAATATCCGATTCTTCGCAAGCAGATGAGCAACGATGTTACACCGTTGTCCACTCTGGCCAGAAATGTCAGAGCGTTTGCGCCGAACGTGGCTCCGGCGCGCTGATAGACCCAGAAACGATCAGGCATGACCCCATTTCTCCTACCCTTGTCCGAACGGTGCTTGCGTATCGTGGTTCGCGCATCACCCGGCGTTGGCAGTCGGACACGGAGCCCAAGAAAACTCTCAGGTACACAAAAGAAAAAAAAAACAGCTTCCATGACTCAATTGCGAGTTGCCCGCTGCCCGCTGCTACTTTCAAGATTACGTGACGGTGCCGGCGGAGCAATTCTCGGAACTGTGGGAGCTCGGGACCTCGCCCCGGCCCCCAAGCTGGAGGAGCAGAGAACATCCATGAACGAGGAAGTATACGGACTCTCACCGAGGTCCGAACCTCAGATCCTTTTGCCGTCATGGGCCCGAGCTGCATAGTGGCTTCGCACTGGCCATCGGCGAGCCGGCACGGAACCTATCGGACGACGATAGGTCTCCGAGACGCGGAGGCAAAGCTGGCTACACCCCAATCCTCGACGGTGGTGCCCGCGGCCCAGTGGACAAGAGTCTGCACTCTCGCCTGTCGCCTGCGATGTGTTTTGCATCAATGCGAGCGAAGAGTCGTGGCATCGAACAGGCAAACGCCGCCCGCTACACAATCGTAGGTATGGCGAAACTTGGAAGCCCATGCCGCGAGTGGCTGCAGTGAAGGGCTAGACCGTGATTCTTTACCCCAGCACGGCAAATGGAAATCAGAGCTACCTCGAAATACAGGCTCAACAGTGTAAGAACCTCGTTGCAGAGAAAGAAAACGATCCGAGTGAGATGGCACTCACCCATACACACACACGGTCAGTCAGAGAAAACGGGACAGGACGCTCTGGTCCACTGTCATTGCATTGACACTTTTGTTGGTGCAACAAGTCTTTACAGTTAAAGCCATAGAGTATACGAGCCGTGGCAATCACGACAGCGACTCGCATTTGCACGAAAATGGGTTGTGGTGGCCGCCGCTTGGGGCCGCCGCAAGGCGCCTTGTACCTCACGATGCCCCAAACTACCACATACGACCATACCCATTGGAAAACTCGGGATCCCGTCCGCTCTCCCATAGATAAGCCAATGAGGGCCGGATTAGTAGTTGGGTCGGTGACGACCAGCGAATACCTGGTGTTGTATGTTTTTAGTTTTTGTTGATACTGCTTTTTGTGGGTTGAGGTGGGTGACGTGAGGGATCGATCTGGAGGGGAGTACTGAATGCTGGGGCGGGACGGACTGCGTGAAAAGAAAGGCTTGGTACGGAAAGAGGTGAACAGGGAGACCGCGTAAGAAGGTAGACCACATCGTGCTAGCTGCCGTCGTATCTGTTTGTGTTATCCCAGGGCCCATCAACTACCCACACGGGACCTCGAACGGTACGGCTTGGTGGTGAACCCCGTTCTTGGGCAGGATCGGGTGTACTCAGACACGAACGACGAGGCTTTATATCACCGATTTAGTAATAATGATCAATTAGACGTCCCTGTATCTTGACTGTCAGAGGGTCCATGAAGTATTGCCAGGCTTAGGGGCTTGGCCTCTAATCGGCGCTTACCGTCTGGTAGGTCTGCTTCCTGATGCCATGCAGTATATCGTACTTTATTATTGAAATAATGTTCTATGCATAGAGCTCTTTGCATGATGTTTGGCTAGGTTGTCGTGATTGCAGAAGACGTCCGATGTGTCGACCCTTTGTGCGTTTGCCTTTAGATTGATAGCTATCCGGACATGCTTCACTTCGTAATTCGTAGTGGAACAACACAGTTCGTTGAGAAAAGGCTGGCGGGCTAGGTCGTATAAGCCCTTCTCTCACCTTGCACGATGAGGTTGTCCATCTTTCCTCAA